CTCTAGTGTAGCAAACGAGGAACAATTAATCCTCAGTTGAATGAGGGAACGGAAATGTTCGACGGAGGAAAACTGTAACCCGCGAAAATTCAACTTTTAGACCTTGAAATCAATGGGATTTTGGCCGTTCCTCCGACGGCAACGAGAACCATCCATTCGTCGCCACGGACACTACCAATGCTAAAAGAAATCGATCGCAAAGAGCTCTCCCGAGTGGGCGAGCTCAAAATACAGCAAAATCAGCTCTTCAGGCACATTTAAATGAAGCAATAAAAAATTTGCGTGGAAATTCTCCATTGCAAAGATTATAAACCGGAATGGACCTTGGAATGGGGGGTACGGCAAGGAACAAATGAAATAAGAGAGGGAACCGAGACAGGAATTCAGGAATGGGTTCATCATAGATTATAAAAAACGTCCGATTTGTGTAATCTTTATTCCCGTTTGTGACATCCATGAGCCACGTTGTCTCAACTCCCTGTAAAGGGACTCTACGATATAATTCAATGATTCCGCACTGTCACCTGCCCTGCAATGTAGAGATAATGTTCGGAAGTCAACACCTAACCAAATAATTACTGATGACCAAAGTGTTGACCAATGGAAAATTTGCAGGTGTCTGATGAATTTCGTGTTCAAGTGGAAAATACTGAAAGAACTGAACAAGAGGATATCGTTGGTTTATAAATTGAACAAGTATAGGAGGGGATATGGCAAAATGATCAAATCTGCTAAAATGCATGGGTTTAAATGGGAAATTCCGTCAGATGAAATCCCTAGGCGTCAGAATCCCTCAAAGCTGACGTCATGAGAACCGTTCAACAAGAGAAAGTCCTCAACCGTCAATCAATAGTTAGGGCTGAGCAGATGTTGTCCCTAAAGGACACTGTTTTGTAAAATATCTTAATAAATATTTCAGACAATTTTTATTTTAAAGTTATTGAAACCTTGCTCATTAGTTTAACTTGAATGCAAATAGAGACTCTTGACTATAGGAAACTGGCTAAGCCCATATTGCGGCTGCACCAATCAACCTTGGATGTTACCCTCTCCTTGGCGGAAACAACATTTTGAGCAATTTGATTGATTAACTTGTCTGAGACTGAAGAAAAGAATTTTGAATGAAAGAGAAAAAAAATTAATGACACCATCACAATTCCTATAAATTGCAAACATCAAATCCCAAAGCAGAATTTCCATTAATAGATTCTCTTTAAAAACTCATCTTTGTGATCAGTGGTCCAACATTCATTGGCTGTTATTGAGTAAGTAAAGATCTTTTTGAGTCTCCTGAAGTTATACTCTTGGCCAACTCGTGCAATTAATTAAATGATAATGCGAGGCCTCTTAAATATTTTAAAGAACGGTTCTATCTCACGATAATTTCTGGATACACTATTCCTGCTTTGTGGATATTGAACGGTGTTGCATGAATAAAAATATGAAGGCGCCGTTTTAAGGCAATAGCAAAGTGGTGTTGCAATTAGTAACAAACTTAGAAATGAATAATAATGTTAACTATGATTATGAGTTATGCAGATCATAAAGGAATATTGAATAGCATAGGTAACCGTTGTCTTGTTCGCTTTAATGACTGGGGACCCATTGTGAGTTATTAAGGATATTTTATTTTTCTTGCCATCGACATTGACGAGTGTAAAAATTGTTGAAGTTTTCAGAGCCACATTTTTTTCATTTTTCATCATTACTCAAATCTTTCTAATTTCAGTTTCTAATCTGTTGTTTTCTTTTTTTCTTTACTCTCTTTCCGCCTCCTTGCAATTAAATCCCCAATTTTCATAATTCAAGAGATTTTTTAAAAAAAATTATACACCCTACCCCCTTCTTTTATTTATCCATTCTTTTTCGATCAGTTCTATAAAGAAATCTGCCTTGCCATTCCCCAATCGTTTTGATTAAAGTGGAAATGTGAAGAATTTACGGGCAGATCTGGCTATTTGACTCGATGATCGTCTTCAGACCGTGAAGGACGTCGTTTTCTCGGTACTCTCAGCCCGAGTGATAAGAAAAAACCCGGGAGAAGAAGAACTCGCACAGCGTTCCTTACCCTCACCCGCGCTTTTTGGAGGTGAAGGATTTTCCGCTGAAAACTATAAATATCGTTTCAGTCAATACTGAATCACCAGTTTCAATCGCTCTCTGCTCCCATCGCAACCTAGTGCACATACTGCAAACAATGGCTATCTTTGCGAAAATTGTAAGTGTTAAGTGCTCTCTAAGTTTGTTCAGTGTCGGGTTTGGTGATGTTCAATTACAGTTACATGGAGTCTACGGATGTCTCTACAAGCTCATATTTTCCCCACCCCCCCCCCCCCCTTTTTTCCCCCCCCCCCCCCCCTCCCTATTTTTTCATCGGGTGCGTTTTGAGGATCGAGAAGGCGAAGTGCATTTTGTATTCGAAAGATTAGTGAAGTTCTCCCAACTTTAATTTTTTTTTTTTTTTTTAAATTTGCTTTTGATGGTGTTAAAAAAATTTAATCAGTAAAAAATGCAATTCTACGAAGTTTCCCTTCTAAGTTTACTAAAAAATATAGAATTTCTTACTTTAAACATTAGAGACGTCTGGGATACATAATATTAGTTCGATTGACCTTAATAATGTTCATTCAGACGTGCTTTGGTGAGATGGATTCATCTCTGATGTATGTAGCCAGAAATTCAGAGGCAACCAATTGATTGGAATGCATAAATTGAGATCTAATTGTAGTGATTTTATTTGCATTGGTATTTTGAGGGCTGAAACTCAAAATACTATAAATGTGTAATGCACATTTTTTCTTCTTTTAGTTTTTTCCTCTTTAAATGCTTTTAAAATTACATGGAAACTTTGCCTTTCGTTGAATATAAAATTTCAATTAAAAATCTCAGGACTGTAAAATGAAGTGCTGTACCAGCTGAAAGTCTGATTATATGGAGAACACAAAAAATTCGACTTATTCGTGAAGATGGGAGTAAAATAATAGAAGTATGTTGGCACAGTATTGATAATAAAATTTCTAATGAAAAATAATCATTTAACCCTCCAGGGTTGATTAAGTTTTTCAAAATCCTTTTCCTCCCAAACAGTCAGTCTTCAGAATATCAGTAATATGTTCGGCTTTATTGTTTTTCCCATTCTTCTTCCTTTTCGTTAATAGTTTCGTTAATCGTTCCTCTTTGAAATACCAGAATGATTGAGGTCGGATTTTTAATATTTGTATGAAAAGAAACTGAATTTTATAATATCTCACAGTGATGTATTAACCGACATGCCAGTGCGATTCAACCAAATTCCTACATCAGTAACTATCAGGATGCGCTTTCTACAATGAAATCGAAACAGTGGTTTGCATGAATTTAACTGGCTAGGTGAAGGGAAGTGTCGGCGTCATGTTAAGTGGGATTCTTTGGGATCAAAGAATTTCCAAAGATAACCAAAAGGAGCTTTAAAACTCAACTGTCAGAACTATAATGACTTATGGCAGTGAAGTGTGGTAATTTTAAAAAATGTCCAAGGAGACAGAGATGGATTTCTGGTGAAGATCGGCTGACATCTCGAGGGAAAAACGTATCAGAAATTAATGTGTCCGAAAGAATACGTGTGTTGAAGAGACAATTTTGTAATATATTATGAACGAACGGTTGGTATAATATGGGAATGTGTAGAGTATGACCAATGTCAGGTTATGGAGAGAGGTTTCGGTATAGGTTCCTCTAGGTAGGCGTTTTAGAGGGCGCTCAACTATGAGGTGGATAGATGACATTCAAAAAGAGTTAGAGAGATTTCAGCCTTCGGATAATCCCTACCTTGACAGATTCTAGTGGCGGTTAGAAGTTGTAGAGTGCCGTACCATACTATACAGGCGTCTAATACTTAAATCCATACATATTTGCTATGTTAATAAGTTTTAAAACTTGAGAATAGGTTTTAACACTCTATGCATGGGTATGATCAACGAACTCTGCACAACATTTAGAGCTCTCAACACCGTGGATAATATTCTCTTTTGAATCGTGTCACGCTTTGATAGCTACTTCTCATTCATTCTTAGATACCATTTCACTCTCCAAAACACGTTGAGGTAGGTCCTAGTGCACTCGAGTGGCTGATGCTCCCAACCGAAACTGACCAAAGTCACGGTAATAATTCGAGCAGGTTTTATAAAAAGGTCATTCAGTTCTTGGTTCGGCCAAAACTCAATGAAAAAAAAACCTGTTGAGAGCGCTGCGTCTAGGATAAGAAGTGATCAAGTATTCAAATGGCCCGGAGTCAGTCAATTAGAGGGAATAATTTGAAAATGAGCTATGACCTAGTGAAAATAGACGTTACAGGAGAATTTAGTGCGGAAAAAATTAAAAGATGCAATATTTTTGATAATTTGGCAAAGATGTCAATTCTTCATTTAAAAAATTGAAAATCTATCTCCTAGTCTTCGTATAAATAAACAAACTATATATAGCTCAATTTAAACATTTGATTAATATTTTATAATATTATATTTTATCCTCACATGCGCTGCAATTGTCTTAAGACGGCTCCCGAACCTTCAATTCTCCCTTCTCAATTTGAAATGTTAAAGTAGAAAATACGAGATGTAATTAGATTTGGCAGATATTCCAATTCAGGGATTGTGAGATGTTCTTAAGTTTAGCCATACTGCTGCAAAATACCTTCAACCGTAGTGTTCAGTAGAATTAAAAGGATCCGAGGATTTTGATGGCCTCAAGATTTTTATCACTGTTTAAAGCCGCTAGTTATTATATCTCACATTCAAATTTTTATTAACATTCTATATTTGAAAAAAAAAAATTGAATGAAAGGAAGGAAGAATTCCCCGATCAGGATGTCTAGTTTTTTTTCATTTTGGCAAATCCTGACTTTTCCTGATTTTAGACTGCTAAATCCTGATTTCATAATTTTTCCAAATCCTGATCGAATCCTGATTTTTTGCGGAGAAAAATCAATGTTACAAAAATATCTCGATAAAAAAATCCGATTGGACGGCCGCCGAATTTTCTCAAATCCTGATTTTATACGACCGATTCTTCCTCAAATCCCGATTGACCTCAAATCCTGATAGAATCGGGAAAATCCTGATGCAAGGTATCCTGCCGATAAACTTGTCTAATATACAGTGCGGCTTTCAGGCAATTTTGGCATTTGTGGCAGTGGCGGTAAGCGCCCTCCCCGCACCAGAGCCGGCTCCCGCTGCCGAGGCCCAGCCGGAGAAGGGACCAGAGGCGGAACCAGACGCGGAGCTGGTTAAGGTGCAAAACGGAAAGATTGCCCCCGCAGCCGCGCAGGAGGACGACGAGACCCTCAAAACGGCCAACTCCTACGGCTTCGGATACGGCTACCCCGGCGGCTATGGATACACACCTTACTACGGCGCAGCTGGCTATCCCTACCCCGGCGGATACGGATATGGTAAGTCATCGATACTCCCCGTGCTAAGGAGGAACGCCGTATGAGCCTTCAGATTTTGCTAAATTTCTTTCGATATAAACAGAATTTACGGGGGAAATTATGAATATTATTTCCCAAAATTTTCGGACGATTCCGTACGCAATTAAATTTAATCTAATGCATCTGAAAATTTCAAATCGTCGTAAGAACCTTCAGGCATTGCCAGATTTCCATTTATAAAACACGAATCTCCTGATAAACTTATGAATATTTTTCTTCCAATTTTCAGATAATTTTGTTCGCAATTTCACCTAAATCCCCTGAAAAATTAAAGGAAAAATATTCATAACTTTCTTTAAAAACAAACATTTACTTGAAGGAAATTTGGCAACTCTCGAATGTTCATACGGCGTTTTTTCATTTGCACGGCAGTATTAGGATCTAGGTTAATATCGTGTCCTAGGAGTATTCTGCTGTGCTAAGACTCTGGCCCAGTTCTCAATTTTTATCGTGTGCTGAGTGTGGCATACATGGTATATAGTGTCCAAGTTGGGTTCTCTCTCGTTTTTCCCCGAAAACAGCTTGAAATAACTGATTCCTCGGTGTATTTGCTGCCGTTTTACAATTAGCGCAAAATTTGTTGCTTCAGCCCCTTTAAGTATGTTATTAAGTACATCGGAAAATTGCACATTTAAAGGTAAAAAACAGCAAACTTTGCGCTCATTGTTAAAATTCAGAAAATTCACCGAGAGAGAATCTTCGGGACATGAAGTACGAAAGGATTCAACAACACCCTTATCATAAAGCACCTTTTTTAAATTGAATCAGAGCAGTCTTACACCAATGACAAAAAAAAGTAAAACCACGTAGAAACTTTTTTTAGAACTTAGAATTCTACGGCCCAAAATTACCCATGTGGCCGCGGTGGTTATAGGCCCCAAAATGATCCAAATCGCGTTGTGTGTTTGTCTCCGTAAAAAGATAAAAGTAAAAAGTCAGCGAAGTTATTATTCATCAATCATCAAATGCTGTAATTCCTATGAGTTTTAAGAATTTTCTCATCGATATAACGATTCCTCGTTGCTCCTCTCTTCCCCGCTCCTTCCTTACTGGTTTCCTCTACTCACTCCTTTTAACGCATTGTGTCTTTTTTATTTGAATTTAATTTAATTACGACGGCTTTCCTAGTATTTTTTCAACTTCAATTAAAATTTCAACGAAATAAGTATGAAATTGAGAAATTGAAAGTGAGCACAGCCATCCCCTCAAACTATTTATAAGCCACTAGACGGACTGAAAAATGGCTAAAGTTTCCTAAAAAGGGACAATCTGAGTAGAAGAATATTTGGCTATTTACTGATTCAGACGACGATACAAAATTTAATAATTGTTGTTGTATTTGACATTATTTTGATGTGACTGAACAAAATGCAACTTAGTTTCAAATTTTAGTGCTTTCAATCTTATTTCTTTTGTGTTTCCCAGCAGGCTACGGATACCCGTACTACGGTTACAATCACTTCTATGGACATTACCCCTACGGTGGATTCCATGGCGCTTTTTACGGCTAAATCACTGATCTCTCTATCGATAATCATCCAATGTCTGCCAAAGCTTCTCACTGCATCGTCACTTTTACTGAAAAATACTCCTAATATCTGCTTCATTTAAATGCAGATTGAAATGGAACATTAGAAATCTAAACTTTAAATGTCAATAGTGCCTTGCCTTTTTTGTATCAATATTTTGTAAATAGCCCATTTTTCATGCAGATTTGCTGGACTGAGCTAAGCGCTTATGGTTCAAAAGATTTTTGTTTTATAATGAAGGGTATACTGTGCAATAATTTAAAGTTTCAAGGATGAAAATACTCATTGGGAGCTCCCGAGATCGTGAAGTATTTTTTTACTGAAACTTAATTATTTGCAACTTTCATTTTGTTTTTAGCTTATCGCAGATGTCATAAATATTCTCGCCAAATACACACAAAAATTAGTGCAGTTTTTTTATCTCAGTCCAGCAAATATTTTCATTAACACCTAATCATCAGCTCATGTAACGTTTAAGTTATACTTTTTTACTGTACATTTTTTGTAGGATTTTGAAAATAAAAAACCTCAACTTGTGGTAAATTTCTACTCTCTGATTTTTCTTTCTTTATTCTTAAAGTCCGTCTTGGTATATTGATGAAGATGGTATGTTCGAGGACTCCACTAAATGTGTTGATTTATTTACTGAATTCGACATGCATCGACAAAAACTTTTAGAGTATAGCATATTAATAATTTTTATCAGGATTTTTCAGCACTCTTAATTAAACCAAAGAAAATTTCATTTATGTTTTTTTCTTTGTTATTCATTTTAATTTTTTTGGAAAAAGAGGGTAAAAACTACAGTCATTAAAATAATGAAACGAAGAATGAGAGTATGTAAATATGCAGAACGAATATATTATTAAATTCCACTCTCATTCAAACATCTGTTCAAATTCCACAAAAAAGCGTTTCAACCAAAACTAATGGTCATTTGAGTAAAAATTCAGTTCATTTGATGTTATTAAATATTTTTTTTGGAAGGAATAACGATGATCGGTTTTAACATTTTAACATTCATTTTTAAAGACGAGATATTTGCCTCACAGAATACAGGCCTGCATTTTTTCCGTAACAGCGATTTCAATGTCCAAAAATAGTGTAGATAGCTCTTTCTCTTACTGCCCGCAATAGTCATACATTAACATTGCTTTTGTTGAATGAGGTGCTGAAAAAATAAACGAACCTACTTAAAATTACTTAATGCCTCGTAAGCACACAGTGAGAGAAAAATATGTTTGTATTGTTACACTGGATATTTTGGAGAAACTTCATGGCAACGCACCTCTGTGTAAACACTTTTATAACTCGTTTATGTACCTTCCTCAAACGAGTTATCCAACTATTTTCATGGACTGCTGATTGAAAAAAATTTTAAAAAAATATTCCACTTGCAAAAGTGTAAAACTTCCAGTCTGATTTGAAATGAATTGGATATTCGATAAGTGTTTTGGGATACCGATCGATACCACCTGCATTAGTAGTTCCTTTAGTCTCTATACTTGGTTGTTTCAACGTTGAAAAATAAAGTAACGAGTGTAGGTACATTTGGATTTCAATATAAAGTAATTTACGCCTGGAAACTTTAAAGACGCCTAATCCTGTTCAGAGAGCTAATGGCAGTTACGTTTTTCCACAAAAAAAACTGTCATTTTAGATGGTCTCTTTTAGCATAAATCTGTCTAATTATACATTCGATGTATGAGTGCTCGCCGAGTAGACAATCGCTGACTCCCACCGGTTCGTCCTTCGAGTTCATCAGTCAACATTTACTTCGTTTGAATTATGATTGATGCATAATCGTGGGCTAGCACCTGTGTGAGAATCGATGTCCGAGTAAACAGGAGTTACGCGCAATTTCTTCACCGTCTCATGCAAATTCGAAAGAAAAAAGTGGAGAAAAAATTGAGTAGCGGTGTTTTTTCCTACGTTAACCTTGTCTCCGCGAAGGTGAGAATGAAGCCGCTCATTTAGTAACAACTCGAATGGAACCAAAGCCGCGGCAGGCTTTAGAATAATCGATTGTTTTGATTTAATCGGCATGTATTTAAAATACAAAATAGACACCACCTTGCAATATTTGTTCCAATATCAGAGCATTAAATTATAGTTCTGTGTTTTGAAGATTACAATTTACTTAAACATTTAAAGCATGAAAAGGTACCAAGTACACAATTATTTTTAGACTATAAAGACTTATAAAAGACCGGAAGCACAAGAAAAATTGATACAAATTAAAGTATTCATTTTATTCTCAGATAACCATAAACACGAAACGGACAGTTCAAAACGCATTCTCTTGACTAAGTCAGATAAATAATTGACATCGTCCGTTCTCTTGACGGTTTGAGTTTGTGTCAAATTAACTAAGATCTTTAGCTCCCTGTGGTTTTGTTAGGAGATGTGCCCTTTTGCCAATGTGAATATTGCGCTGAGGGTAACGCAACATCAAATGATATCGACGGTGAAAGTCGGCAATCACATAACTCGGTTTGCGACGTCGCAGACTTCCTGTGATACTTTATTTTTTAAACGGGAAACCACTCAACGGCAACTCTTTAAAACTGCCGTAAAAACTTGTTTCATCTCCGTGCCAAGAAAATTCTGCAAAAACTTCAAGGAATGATGTCAGTTTGTTCTCTTTTAGAAAAATAACATGGAGGCGGAGATTTTCAGACACCGCAAACGAGTTATATGATTGCCGACTTACACCGTCGATATATTGTATGTTGCTCGTAGAGGACCCATTGACTAAAGCAGGATCAGTTTGCCTTCAATTTCTCTCGACGCAAATTATCCGACGGGTAAGATAAGTTGAATGGCAACATTTTCTGTCCTTCGGAGGAACTCCATAATAATAAATAGATATACGTGGAGAGCATAAGTTTTGTAGCTTCCAAACTCTTATTTTGCAATTCTATTATTACGCAGTGTCACACGGTGGCAATTGCACGCGTCGTATCGTAAGTAATCATAATCTTTAATTCCGTAAGCCTTATTCTTTGGGTCAAAATTTAGCAGGGACCGCCGGGCCGATCCGGGCGCGGGTGGTGCCGGCTTGGCCGTCCTGATCCCCTGATGGCCGAAAAAATAGATGGATTGAGCGCGGCGGGCCCCCCGGCCTTTGCGCCCCTTGAAGGATCGGTTATCCCGTGCGTTCCGTACGGAAATGCGCGGTTTTGTGTCATTTCCGGGCGCTTTTTCCGGTCAGCTGATGATTCGGCTGCCCTAGGAAATCAACGTGGATGATGGATTTATGTTGGAGGCGTACTGCAAAATTTTACGTAAAGAATACAATTCACACAACGGGAAGTTCGGAGCGAAACCATGTGACGTTGCAGAAGCATACGTCCTGCCATACTCAACGTAATTTATTTAAAACTATCTTACTTTTTCGTCTCCCTTGGAAGAATATTCTACATACATTTCAAGCTATAATGTTAACTTCTTCCTCAAAAAAAAAAAAAAAAAAATGCAAAATTTGTATCGCCTACGGTATTGTTTTTCTTTTGATCAGGCAATGTAAAGTTCCCGTAGCCAGTGTACAATAAAAACGTTAATATCTTAGCTAGAAGTTAATTTCATTGATTTTTAATGCAAGACTCGTGTTCTCCGTAAAATTTTGGTTGAGAAACATGTACTTATCACAGTTCTTAAATTCGGACCTTGTTTAATGGTCCATTCAGTCTAAAAGAGCGAACTTGGAGAACTGTCCTAACATTCTTCGGAAAAAATATTTTGTCTAGAGAAACGAGGCGACGTTGGAATCCTCATACGGCGCGGCGTCGAAATTTAGCATGGTCCTTCCAAGCCCCATTATTCGATCGATGCTGCGGTTATCCTAACGCAAGTGCGAGTAACCGCGTCAAACACAGTGCGGCCGTCGCGTCGACACACTCATATCAGCGCCTGCAAGACTGTAGAAATACTTCATGCATTGCGCCAAACAGTGCGGTTGGCGTGAACGTATGTTAGCGCCTACAAGACTGCATGAATACCTCTCGCACTGCTCCAAACGCACTGCGAGGCGAAAACTATTTTTGATAAATTGATAACTATTCGACCTCGGGTATGGGCATATTGCTGCAAGCTGGATTGAGGGCGCATCACACTGTGAAGATGACTCGACACTCGACCGCGCCCCCTCCCTGGCTTGCGCGACGCTAAAATTGCCGCAAAACTAGGAACACGCTTCATTTCTTTTGACGGTGTCCGTCCGGTTTTTACCACAATTAAAGGGTAAATATTTTTCGATAATTTCAATACTTACGTTTGAGATCATTTAGGAAAATTCGTGGAAACTTTTCAGAAAAACTGTTCGTAGCATTTTGAAAGCAATGATGATTAAAAATAAAGTAGGTACAAAAGAGGGGCATAACGTTACGATTAGAGACCCTCCATTCGTCCCTGTCTCTGAGACCATGTCATTCGCGTTAAATTCCTCTTTGAACTCCTGATTGTAACGATCAGGTTCACATTTAAAACACTTACTCAAGAATATTTATATACCCTTACTTTAAATAATTTCATGTATGTGGACTGCTTTCGGCGAAGAGGGGTCTCCTAATACGAAAGGCTCATTCTTGTTATTCGTAGTTGCCGAATGTAAAACTCGTTTTGTATAAATGTCAACCGTCGGAAAAAGCATGTTTTTTGGTGTTTTTTCTCCCTTCGCATTTATCTTGGACAGGTGGAAGTTGAACCAAAGCACCGTGGCTGAAAGCTATGTGTTTTTATTTAATGAGTATTGAATCTTTGCTTGAAAAAGTGCTATTTTGGAGTAATATTTTTCTGCCACAAGACATCACTGTTTTAAGAGCCTCATTGAAGAAAGCTTAACCACTTCATCAAATGTATGGTTTTTTTTTTTTTTTTTTTTTTTTTTTTTTTTCAATCTCAAATGCTTAATAACACGTATTAATTAGGATAATTTACACACCGGTGACACTTTTATTGGCTTTCAATTTAAACTTCCAGCTTTTTATCGGTATCTGAATAATTTTAGAATGTACGGGAAAGAATTTGCGGATTAAAGGGATTTCCCAGGAGAAAAATTTAAGTGATAAGGAACAGGTGCGGAAACACTTCTAATGGGTAGTTTCAAAATTAATTACAGCGTATGAAAATCATTTCTTGGATCACTTAATTCTATCTTATGCAGTGGTTTCATCTTCTGTCCCATATTCCAAATTATTGATTACTTCTATTGTTGCTTTGTTTAAGGAATTTAAAGGGATTTATAATAAAGGTTGCAGTATTATAGACTGGAAAAAGTGTATTAAATTTAAAACTATACCGCCTGTTTCCAACTTCAGTAAATGTCCGTAGAGGATACTTACATGTTCTTGCTCTTATAAATCATCGGCAAAAAATAAGTTAAGATGAGATTACTGACAAAAACTTCTAGTACTTGTTTCGATAAATTAAAAAACAAAAGCGCTATTTTTGTGGTGATTCTAGTAGTTTCCATTTTAACCGCAAGTGCTGGATTACTCCTACTGAAAAATAGTCCGAAAGCAGAACAGTCGCTACGATTTGTCAGCATCGTGAGTATCGTTTTATTTTCTTTCATTTTATTGATATTTACAATGTATTACCAAAAAAGCAATATTCTTATTCTAAAGTTCGAAATACATTTTCACAACTAACACAGAGAACTCATACGGATGTCAAATGCTGCAAGCATAATCATGCAAAAGCATAATAATGAAAATAGTCAGTCTTTGCATAACATTGAAAGAGCAAAGAAAAGGAAGGAAAATATTGAGAAAATGGAAGAGTCCAGAAAAAAGGAACTTCCTTTTGATGGAGCGATTGTCTAATACAATAGTTTCATTCATTCGCACGCTTATTTTTTAAAATTAATGAGAATATAAAAATAGCTATCCTCTGTTTTTATCCTCTGAAAAATGTATTATTCAAAAAGAGAAATAGAGACTAGAGCACGGTAGAATATCGCAAGTCAAGATACTATGGCCGCATCAGCTAATGAGGAATCAGCGCAAGACGCACTGCTCCCACTCGATAGTGATTGGCTACTAACAATGCGTAGTGGTAGCCAATCACTATCCAGTGCAAAAAGTGCGTCTTACACTCAACCCTTATTAGCTGCCAGTTTATAAACTGTATTTTGCTAGCTTGATAGCAGACAATGAATTTATCAACCAATTTCCGATGGTGAATTTTTTATATTTTTGATTTTTGGGATACAGATTCATCGTCATGGAGAAAGAGCCCCTAAAGGAACATACCCCATGGATCCTTACGAAGTAGAGTCATTTTGGCCAGAGGGACTAGGTGCCTTGGTAACGGTGAGTGTTAGGTAACCGTAATAATACATTTTAAAATCAAAGGGAAATGCTTAAGTCAACCTCTGTCTTCAGTTCTTTATTATTATTAGTTTTTTTTTTTTTTTTAAACTCCGCCACGGAAAAAAGTAATTGTATCTAAGGCAGCCTTGTTGTACAAAAATATTGTCAAGTCGAGACGGGCAGCTCACAAAATGCACTGATTAAAATATCTGTGTAATTGCGTTACTTTTGGTTAATATACGAGGTGAAACACAAACCAACGTAATTTTTTTGTTGATACGTGCAACGTACGGTGAATTTAGCCGAGAACACAATGGAGAGACTAGGAAACCCCAATGTGAATCGAGGGTTCGAGTTATTTGGTGTTTTACTGCCCGTATTAACCAAACTTTTGTGTTGAGTTTTCTCTCTTGTGCGTCCCAAGGAAATTTGGGTATTTCAACCCCTCTCGTTCCTCGTCACACTTTTGTGACGTAGGTCCTTATATTTAAATATCCAAGAACAAAATATGTCACGCTCTACTCAACCCCTCATTTGCCTTAGAGCGTTGCGGGGATGCGTTCTTCAGCACTCTTGTGTTGAAACTGCCTGTTTATATTTAATTTCGGGTATTATCTGTTTCAGCAAGGAAAAGTAAGTATGCATGCCTTAGGGCGTTTCCTACGTCATCGATACGATGGATTTATTTCATCTGCATACATACCTGCTGAGATTTCTGTTCTTACGGACTATGTAGCCAGGACCATTATGAGTGGACAGCTTGTGTTAGCAGGACTGTATCCACCGGTCGGGATTCAGGTTTGGAACCCTGATTTACCCTGGCAACCGATTCCAGTGCATACTCTTCCTCCTCAGTGTGATGAAGTAAGCTAATAGATTTATCTTTCACGTAGGAAATATCATACAAAATATACGATCCCTCGGTGGTGGGGTATTTCGCAAGATTTGACCTATCTTCACTTACTTTTTAACTCAGACCTACTGAATAAAATACTTCCATTCAAAGTATCATCAGTAAAATGCGAGGTTGATTTGAAGTGCAAACAAACTTGGTTGTTTTAACTTTTCAATTACTATCACTATAATATGTGTGAGATTTAGCTCGCTAAGTACTGTGGATTCTATCGATATTTTTTCCGTGTAGTTGGAGCGTGCAATAGAGAACCTAATTCTTTTTCCTGAGATGCCCAGAAAAATACATACACATTATGTATACCACCAGAAGTAAATAGACCCGAGATATCTTCAACAGAGACTTTTGAAAATCTAACTTAATGACAAATAATGTTAAGTATAAAATGTTGTAGTTTCATTGCTTGTTGAAGTATTTTTCTACAGAAGTGTGTGATGGAAGCGGATGGGTTCGGTGAAATTCAGTACGAAAATAATAAAGAAATGTACTTTTTTCTCATCCAGATATTTCGAGTCAGAAAACGCTGCCCACTGTTATCGGAGGAAGAAAAACGAAGAAATGCCATACTTGATCTTGAGCTGAACAAACATAAGGACTTCATAGCGAATCTTTCCAAAATTTCTGGCGCTGAACTATCATCAATTAGGAGCATCAAATTCCTTTACGACAATTTACTAATTGTAGTACGTAAAAAACCAGATCAAAATACTCTCAGCCCCACTTTTGTCTCATCGTAGTTATTTTGTCTTGTCCGGTGCAGCATATATTCAACAATTTTAAAGAATTTCTCCCGTCATTTTAATTTATTTTTCTTCGTTTTCATTTTTCAACTCTCGTTCAAAACAAGATTGTATCGCATTCACAAATATTGCCGGCTGCTGATCAGAAAACGAGTGAGTCAAAACGTATTTTCTAATTTTTCCTTCTTCAATCTTATTTAAATTACCGAATACCATAACGTCCATTGTATTCATATTTACGATCAATTACTTATAGTTTGTCAAATTCTTTCTTTACCAACCCTATGATGAAAAAGTGATATGACTTACGAGTGATAAAGGTAAGAGGTATTAGCAAGGTCTCCCGATGAAACATAGAATTACATTCCCCTACTTTGATCATCAAATTCCTGAAGTCAATTGAAGTGCCTTATTTAAATAGGTGCAATCGGTTGCACTGAGTATTATTAGAGATATCCAATTAGCAAAATAAAGTTCTTAAATTATTTTAAACTCCAAATCTGATCTTACAGGAGCAACAAAAACTTCCACCGCCGAAATGGACCGAGCATATAAATCAAGAAAAACTACGAGAACTGGCTAAAATAGATTTTCTGGAGCTGCACACGTCAGCTGCCATGTTAAAACTACAGACAGGTATTTTTTCTGTACTTCAGGAGTCCGCACTTTGGTTGGATTTTTGGAACGGTGTTTGCTCGGTCCTTAACTTGAGCGACTCCGGAGCAATTTCCAGCGTTAAAATCACAGATGAGGCCTGATGGCGTCATCTGTAATTTTGTGTTTAATGCCCTACAGCCCACCTTCCCGTATCCCCAGTTTTTACAATTTCATTATCTGTGTTTAATGATGCATACTGCCAGCATTTGGGTTAATTTATTAAAAATTATCTGTTATTACGATCTGTCATTACCAAGAGCTGACCAACGCCAGAAAAGCTGAGCGGTACTCATGACTCTCGATGTTTGTGCAATCATTTATGATAAGGGAAATTCGGGGTCTCCCAGAAGAAATGAAAAACTTACCCCCTCAAAAGATTATTATTAATAATTGACTCAGCCATCTTACAAGTTCGGGTTTTTAAACTTTTAGATGTTCAGATGAACCATGAACCATCCCGACCTAACGCTATTGTAAGATCGACCCTGTCAATTTTTCTTCAAATTCATTTTTTTCTCACGAATCCTTGATAATTTTAGGTGTCATATTAAAGGAGATTGTATCAAATATGAAACGAAAAATAGAGGATCCGGAAAATTTCAAACGTCGATTAACTTTGTATTCTGCACATGATCGTAATTTGGTGCGGCTATGGCGAGCCATGAACTTCAGTCAGGACATCATAGACCAGCCATACTATGGAGCAGCGCTCATCATTGAACTACACGAAATCAACAATCAGTATCTTGTGAAAGTAAGTTGAGATCAGCAGAGATATAAAAGTTTCGCAAATATATAGCAGTTCAGTCATTCAGAAATTCGGTTTAGTTAAGTTTTTATAGTTTAGCAAACAAAAAAGAATTGTTTGGTTCGAGCGAAGTTTGCGTATTCAATTGATTTGATGCAGACGTGACTATTTTAAATTTGGCGGCGACTCGTCAATCAAACCCGTAATCGAATCGAATGAAATTGCTCTCGAAACGGAAGTCTCCTGGTTCCTGAGGCATTTATGTTCACGACGAAGCAAATCGTAGCCGAATCAAGTCACTCAAAGATGCTTCGGATCAAATCTGCACATGCAGTTTGTGAAAGAAAAAAACTTTGAGAATACCAACCATGTCCATGTCGCAGGTAATCGCCAGGAATTTGCAGTCGGCATGCGTGGTGACTCGTCAAATTCCGATGATTCGCATCGAAATATGAAAGATTTTCATTGGCAATGAACATCAAAAGCACGCCCTCGGCTCAGAGCGCCTTCAAATTCGATGATACTCTCTGCTTTGCCAAGCAGTTAGTTTAGTTGCCTATCCGAACCAAACCCAACTAAGAACCATTGATTTCACCACAAGTAGTCGTGATGTGCGGGCTAATACCATGCATTCTCAAAAACAAAACATCCCATACAATTCGACGAATAATAAGCAGTTCTTTTATATATGTTTCTTAATTTTTGGATTCACTTTTTTCTTTTTTTAAAAGAAAAATCAACAGAAATAGATATTGGAATTGCGAATGCTATTTACCTGCGGCATCGACACTGCAACGCAAATTAATCACTGAATCAAGAAAGTCGTACACTGCACTGACGATAAAATTTGATCGTGAGAGCCCGAAGCTTAGTGTTTCATATCCATCGAACTATTCGGTTTATCAAAGGGAGATCGAACGTTCGATTCGTATGGTATAACCGAACTTCTTTTAAATCAGTGCGGATCAATCGAGAAGTTTGATCTCATAAACCAAATGTCCGCTTTGACGGATCGAAAGTTCAATTTGACCAACCAAATAGTTAGATCGGTATAAGGCACAGGACAATTAGCACATAATCGAGCTTTTCTTTTACGGTACAAGTGAATAATTATCTAAAATAAGTAACTAAATACTTAATAACTAAGAACCTAACTTTTTTTTTCTTTTGAATACCTATTTATATCTATAATTTGCAGATTTTACACAAAAAGGGAAGTTTAGACGAAGATTTATCGGTGCTGAAAATGAAAGACTGTGAGGAGGTCCTAGCCGGGGAAACGGGAGACGTCATGTGCAACTTCAGTGCTTTTTCAGCCGTCCTACAACCCTCTATGATTTCAAATTTTGAAAAAGCGTGCGAATTGTCAAAATAACGATTGACCTCATAAGTTACATCAAATTATAGTCTAATATAAGTTATAAAGCCAACTTTAATATATTTCACATCTGATTGATGCGTGGATATGACTAAAAAGTTCCTAAATTTTACTATCTGCAGAAAATGGGTGGAAGCTGTATATAAATGCATATTTTGTTGTGTCATCAGTAAGCAAATAATAGGCTCGATCCATCAGGCAAATATACGTGCTTTGTATTTCATTATTTTCAACTTTAATCATGGAACCTCATTTGTCCCCGAGCGAAAATGGAAACGAAACGACATTCACTACAATATGAAATACACACTTATGTAAACACACTTCAATAAGAAAATGTGTTTCATCGGATTTCCAAGGCTGACCACAGGTATATCAGAGAGCAAATATTCGTCGAATAGCTCTCTGTGTTGACCGTGCAAATTTTTCATCCTAGTACTCATTTAAAAAAAAAGAAAGAAAAGCTAACGACATTGCTTCATTACTTTTACATTTGGAATATGTGTGTTAAAATGAACACAATGTAACAATTTATGATGATGGAATCGAGATTAATTATATTCATAGTTCTTGCGTGCTTCGTAGCTCCTCTAGATTTTATTCATTTGCACATAGTTCCATTTAGGACAAACACGTCCTATAGACATAAAAATTACCTTCACATGATTTATGAAACAATTAACAATCGCACTTTATTTCAAATGCACTCGAATAATGATATATTCTATTTATAGGGACTCAGTAATGTGTCATACATTCCATTATGTTAAAAAGCTGTGTTGATTACCTATTGATGAATTGAGCAGGCTTAAAATGTCTTTTATTGTTTTTGGAACTTTGACTGTCTAACTGTTAAAGTATGCTTACATAAAGCAACTAAGAAAGGATAAGTATGTATATCACGCGCGCCACATGACCACTAGAAATTTAGATAAGGTAGGAGGTATTCGATACGTGGATACTCTGTGATAAGTATGCTAATAATCAAGGGTCCTCATGCATTAATAATTATTATCTCTAAAGCACCGCAGTCGAGCGACAATATATCATCCGAAAATAATGATCGATAAATAATCATCTTTTATTGTGAAGTTTTGTTATAAAGACGCATCTTTCCACCAAAATTGGCAGCAGTGAGCTGCAGTTAATACCAAACTATGTTCCGTGGCTTATTCGTTACTAAACATCGAATTTGGCATAATTATCCGAGGGAATTTTAAACATCAACTTGGCAACTATGCTTAAAATTCTGATTTGATTAAATGCCCATCTAAGATTATGTTACACTGTTAGGTCATTCTAGTGCGGTGAGTTGTGTTCTCCGTCCGTAGAGCAATGCTACACTTTTGCCTCTAGGACTTTTGCGTGGACTCTAAGAAAGACCATAAACATGTCGGTGAATGAAGTTAACGGGGGGCATTGTCCGAACCGCGGAAAATGTCTGACCTTGGAAACTTTAAATCCGGGGGTGAAAGTGATGCAATATGCCGTCAGAGGACCACTTTTTATCAGGGCCATGGAGATACAAGCGGAGCTTAAACAGGTCTGATTTCTGATTATTTTTAGCTTATATTCTCGCTATCACGATTTTACAATTATGATGGGCGTCTTTTAGATTGTGTCTATGGTTATCGGGCATTTAAAAAGTGATTGTAAAGGATAAATACTATAGCACAGAACTTAACCGCATGTAAACTTTAGGAAAATCATTTTCAATTTGATTTTAAGTTATTGAAATTGTAATGGTTTATATTAACTTTTCATAGAATATAATCGGTTATAATGTAAAATTCGAAGGGAAGACCATCCCGGCGCACTATCTTTTCTTTTCCTTCGGAACAATGCGCACTTGATTAATCTTTTTTAAGGTATTAATATTTTTCATTGAGGCACCTCCTAATAAACGTATTTACCGACCAACCATGCAACCATGCCGCCGCATAAAATTCAAATTTTGGTAGGATGTGCGCAATTTAAAATCTATATTTTCTGGGACTATTTTAGATTCTCTGAAAATTTCACTGAATTTTCTGTACATTTTACGAAGAAGAACTTTGTACCTTTAAAATGAATTAAATGGACTGCTCAAGTGTTTACTGTACCACATCTTCATTTCTTTATTCCTTGTTTTTAAACCTTCACTAATGCCGCATTTCCACCAACTAATAATTTATTATGCTCTTGTTCTTTATGATGACTTCAGATGAGTGATAAGTTCATATCAATTCCCCGTTAAACAATCCTCCTCGTGTACTCTCTGTCAAACTTTCACAGAACTTATGTAAATAATATAACAAATCGATGACTACTTTCTCTCTGATTTTATAACTTCTTTTTGTTGTAGGGTGTGAAAAAACTCTTCAAGGAGGTTTTGAGAGCCAACGTGGGCGATGCACAAGCCATGGGGCAAAAGCCGATCACTTTCATTCGACAAGTGAGATATCCATAATAATATCACGTTCCAGGTTGATAATAAATTATTATCACTGACGAGGGTAAACGGATAATTTTAGGGCTTTGATGTCTAATGTTTCATTTGCCTCACCTATCACTTGACACTCGAGATATTTTCGGAGCACATAATGATTCTGTAACTATTCCACTTCTATTAAAAGTCAAATTTATATGAGTAAGCAGGTTAAGCCGAACGTGCTCATTTTCTGACACTATGCTCTTACAATTATTGAAACGCAATGAAAATTCTGTTTCACGCTTGAGTTATTCACGTAATTAGCATCCAGTCACACAAAAGTATAATAAAAGTAGAGTAAAGAACGATGGAAATGTCAATTGAAAGGTCCAGCCAATGACTGTCACTGGGAATTTTTTTAGATCAAGAGATTCTAAATCGAACAATTACATGAAAATTAATGAATTAATAATTTAAACGGTTGTTCTGACACAACAGATCAAAGGCTGATTTTTTTTTTTTCACACATGTTATTTTGAGACTAATTCCACCCCATACTGCCTCATTTTCCCTCCCCCAAAATATCTTTCGTCATACTTGTGTGCTGTGTAATTTAACTTTGACTTTAATTTAAAGCTGTCCTAAACATGGACACGAATATTCGCCCACTGAAGATATTTTAAACCTTTGAGAATGCAGAAACGTTATATGTAGAAGTATGACGCACATTCTTGGTTAGAGAAATGTACATGAAATAGCTGGTATAATTTCACTTGGAATTTGAAGAAATTTTGGAGAGCCACTGTCAATGTACCTGAGGATAATTTTAGAAAGAGGGTTGCTTACGTGGTCAAATGCATGCATTCAAGGGTAATATTAATTGAGTTACGGCGCTGTCATAGAATTAAATGATAGGCATTATCTAGTAGGGTCACTACAATTCACCGATGCCATTTTCATACAGGTATTAGCAGCAGTGGCACTTCCACATCTTCTGGAGGATCCTAAATTTCCGGATGATGTCAAGGTTCGAGCTAGAGACATATTGGCTAGCTGCCCAGGAGGCACCATGGGTATGATTCAAAAGTTTCAGGTCTCTTACTTCTTTATAACTATACTTCTTCACGAACTGTTAAAAAAAAACTCCGGCTGTGAAAGCCACTCTAAAGGGGCTCTATAGACATACCGTCCGTTTCAGGCTCAGAGACAAAAAGTTCTGGATGTAGATTGTAGAACTCGTTACTGTGGCCACTGCACCCGCAGCAGTCGATGCTGCGGGTTCGGCACCTGGAAATAAGGGCCTCTGAGCGTCTGAGCCCGGAACGGACGGTATATCTATAAGGCCGGCAACTCTTGTTTCAGTGCGCATATTCAATCATTGTTCATAGGAAACGAACCACAATATTTTACCTCTTGTTTCCTGATATATCAGGATTCAATAATAAACTCATTCAATAATAAACTCATTCAATAATATATTCCAATCCGCAGTGGGTGTTTCGCGCCTTCAAGGGCCCGCTTCAGGCCTTTTTGAGTTAATCTAAATAGTACGGGTTCATCTAAGGACTACCTCCTATCAACAGCCGCAAGTATCATGAAAATTGGCCCGGTTTATCTTTGGAGCCAACAGTGAAAAAAAAATGAACGTTTACCTACATTGTTTGAGTGGGAGAATTCACAACTTCATCACGTAATATGAAAACACCGGGATCGTATCTCCAGAAGCTCATTAGCGGACTAGGTATACCTGTCGAAAACCGGCGCAAAAATCATTGAAATCGGCCTACAATAGAACGATCAAACGAACTGTGACAAAATATTGAAATTTAAGGTATCAGAGACCTTACTGTAATGACTTCCAGAATGTTCACACTAAAATATACGTCAAATTCTAAGCAAAGAGCCGAGACCTGAAAAAATTTTAAATGATTGCAGTATATGTGAAGGCCTAATAACACACGGCGATTAATCGCCGATATTGAAAGACGAAAGCCAATGGAGAGCCTGGATTTCGATCTATTGACGTCGATATTTCAAAATCCAGGCTCTCCATTGGCTTTCGTCTTTCAATCGCGGCGATTCATCGCCATGTGTATTTAGGCCTTAATATCTCATTTTAATTTTTCGATTGCTACAGGTTCATACACGGATATACCTGGTATTGAAGTGATTCGGAAGCACGTGGCAGATTATATCCATAGGCGTGACGGTGCACCAGCCGATTGGCAAAATATCATTCTCACCTCAGGAGCTTCTACTGGCATCGACGTACGTGCTTGGTATTCCACTCGGGAAACTCTCTTCCACATACCACTAGATGCTATGCAAAAATTGGACCGCTTTAAGCAGAAAGGAACCAAGCCACATCAGCTATTGCCAAATTTAATTTTTACGTGAGAATAATTGTGCGGAATTTCGTGCAATTTCAGTGAATTTTCTGCACAGTGCGAAGCAAATTCATTCAGATTTTCGAAGGAATCCGCACAAACTTTCTCCTGTAAAAAATTGAATTGCTCAGTTTAATTTGGCAATAGCTGATGTCACTTGGTTCCTTTCTGCTAAAAGCAGTCCAAATATCGTTGGTTTGAGTCGAAAAACGCGTATATTGGTCTCATTTTAAACGCCACCCATCCAAGATTAACTCGGCGTCTCCCGCGTTTTCGTGCATGAGAAATCCAATCAGAGACAACAATCCACAAACTTCCCGGCTAAATCGTCATCCATACTATCATTAGAATATGACCACACCAGAAAATCTGCTTGTTCATGATTTCATGAATAATTGTCTGCTTGGCGTTCACTTTATTATGCACTCTTCCATTTCAAACGTTATCACGCGTCCTCTCTAGATTCCTCATTTTTGCCTGTGCACATTTTAGTATGGACCACGAGGACAGGGTACGAATTTCAGCATTCTGATACATGTTACTTAACCAACATTTTGCGTCGAACACGATGCACACAACGAAAATTACCGAAGAAACTTACGAAGATATTTAATGACGCTTGGTGCGTGAACTCAAACCACCCGTTCATGAAAACTCAATACTCTACGTGATTCACATCGCGCGGTAAACGTTGTCATGACTGTCTCTGCGATATATAAAAATCTGGCAATCTCAATCTTGACGCATTGGCTCAGCTATAGCAAATTTCTCATAATTTGAACAGCACATGGCGGGAAATGAACATTTCTCGATTGAGGAGCTTGCTGAAACCTTTGTTACGCGCGATTTGACTCACGTAGAGCTTTCAGTTTCTTGTGAGCGGGCAGTTCAAATTCCTCGTAATCAATGTGAAATAGAAACGTTAATATCTTCATTAGGAATTGGTTTCAGTAATTTTCGTTGCGCGAATCGTGCACTACGTAAAATTCTAGTTCAGAAATATGTATCAGAATGCTTAAATTCGTACCTTGTCTAGTGGTCTTTTATATAAAATAATATGAGATTCCTACAAAATGAGAGCAGGGGTTCATCGAGAATATTTTCGCTCAACTTCATAAATTTGTACCAGCCCTTAAAAATTTACAAGTGAAAAAAATAAGATCTAGTCATTATTTTGTGAGGTTTTGTACAAGTTCATATGAATTTAATTCAAAATTGTCGAGGTGCATTTAAAACATTTTTCTTTCTCTTTATTTCTTGGCTCAAGATGGAGTATTTTTGTTGAGGTATATTATTGGATATTATTCGTCTCTTTTATATTTCAATTACAGGCTATGCTTAAGCTTCTAAATGCACGTATTGATGACAAAGCACCGGGTGTGATGATTCCCACTCCTCAATATCCTCTATACACGTCCACTATAGGCGAGTTTTCAATGATCCCTATAAATTACTACTTACACGAGGAGCAAAACTGGAGTCTTGACATTCAGGAACTCGAGCGCGCTATTACAGAGGCTAGGAAATATTGCTATCCCCGAGCAATTGTCGTTATCAACCCTGGAAACCCAACAGGTTAGTCGAGTATTGGTAAAAAGATACTTTAATTTAATGGAACCATTACGTGGGTTATCTAGTCAAAATACTCAGTCAGGCTTTTGGCTATATATACCATAGTTTTACAAATACTGATACATGAAATTTAGAAACATTGAAAAGAGTAAATGTAAAAAATCACAAATAAAACTAATCCATAATGACGATGTGATAAATACTGCATGCCCTTTATAAGTCATAACTCGGACTTTTTTCCCCCTTTTTTTGTTGAAAAGTTTATGTATTTAACCTCCTCTTACATTCATTTTTCATAAATTTCTTTTCCAGGCCAAGTCTTAAGGCGAGGAAATATTGAGGATATCATTAAGTTCGCGTACAAGGAGAAACTATTTATATTTGCTGATGAAGTAAGTATTTATCAGTTTCGCAATTTGAGATTCCCGACTAATATGAGTGCAATGTGTGCGTCACTGTCTGTTCGATTCCGGAAAATCTTACACTGGGAAAAAAAAACACATTGTACCTAGAGTCCAGACTCTTGAAAACATTACAAGAAAAAATACTCTTGATTCGATCGGATTTTTGCTTGAATCAAGACGAAATCCACGTAAATTAAGAGGCTTGGTTCTTGATTTAAGCTAGATTCTGATTGAATCAAGAGTACTTTTTCTTGTCGATATTTTTAAGAGTCTGGACTCTAGATCCAATGTGTTTTTTTTCCCGTGTATAGTTTCGTGTTGAGCTAAGTTACTTTCCTAAGTTTTAATTTTTAATACATATAAAAGAAACAAAAATTAAGGATCAAAGATTAAAAATTATGAAAACTCAAATTAAAAGTAATGACGAACATTTATAAAGGCATTTGAAAGCTTTTGGAAAGGAACTTATTCAGTTTTCTTTTTTTTTTAGGTTTAAAGATTGCTTTTATTTTTCTTCTCGAAGATTGTTCTCTAAAATCCACAAAATGATTAATTTGAATCTCCCTCACGAGAATACATCCAGTTTCGTTTAGAAAATCTGCCCCAATTTCACTCGTATCCTCTGCAACTTTCAGGTTTACCAACAGAATATTTACGGAGATGGGAATGAATTTCATTCAGTTAAGAAAGTTATAACGGAGATGGGCGAGCCGTTTAGTCAAATGGAAGTCGCCTCCTTTATGTCAACTTCAAAAGGTATTCCCTTAGTTATAATATTCAACAAGGAAAGAAAACACTAGGAAAGTTGATATTTAACTAAGTGAATTTTTTTTAAACAGTCTTTTACAATCTTAAAATCAGGAGTGGATCATCACTTTTCATTTAAAAAGAAAAAGGACGAAGATCGTTTTAGAAAGTATATTAGCGCAAGCAACGGGACGAGATGTCATTGGTGATGCATGGATGCAACTATTCGTGTTCAGTTGCCGTTAAAGCTGCATATACAAAAAGTTGAAGGCGTTCTGGTTTTCTTTTCCGATAGCATATCGCAGCGAGCAATGCCACGTAGCGCCGCGCCGCGCCGCGCCGCTCTAATAGTAATAAGGCAGTATCTACGTGGAGGTGCGAGTCCACGTGTCTCCATTGCGATGTTTCGAAATCTCCATGCACTTGGTTTATTTTTCCAAAGAGACACAAGTTAACATTAAAGCTTAAAATGTACATAGAATATTCTGCTAACAGACACTGGAAAAAAAAGTCACTTGGATCTAGAGTCTAAACTCTTAAAAACATTGACAAGGAAAAATAATCTTGATTCAATCGGATTTTTGCTTGAATCAAAAGGAAATCTGCAGGCTTGGCTCTTCGATTCAAGGAAAAATCCTATTGAATTGAGAGTATTTTTTCTTGTCAATGTTTATTAAGATTCTGGACTCTAGATCCAAGCGACTTCTTTTTCCAGTGGTGGAGAAAAAAAAACAAGGAAGTTGTCAAGAAATTACGTTGCTTATTAGTTTTCCAAGGAAAAAATGAAGTATTGCAGGAAGTCTGCAACGTCGGAAACGGAGATAAGTGGTCTCGCACTTTGGCCATCAATATGATAAACAAACATAAATTAACCGTTTTTTCTGTCCCATCTCAGAAACGACGTATATGCCATTAGTTTTCCTACGCAGATAGATGCTTTTGTGGGTGAGCCAGAAATAGTAGTTCCTTATTGCAAAATGTGGTCGAATTCATTTTCCGTCCGAAAAGAAGTAAGCATTAACTTCTTGCACACTTTATTACGTTGACGTTTAATTGCATATTTTAGTAGGAATCCTCAGGTTTTTTTACGTTTAGAAGTGCCCAACAGAACTTACGCGTTTATTTTTTTATTTTTTTTACTTTTATTTTTTTTAACGGAGGCTTTTGTTACATTTTTGTCTCATAATTGATTTAATATTTCTACTTATTTTCACTCTCTCTCTCTCTCTCTCTCTTTCTTTAGGTTACATGGGTGAATGTGGAGCCCGAGGAGCATACATGGAAATCATCAACTTTGACCCTGAAGTAAAAGCCATGCTTTTAAAATCCATTAGTCATATGCATCAACCTAGTTTTGGCCAGGTTAGAAGCTTCAGCGGTTACTTGTTTTTATTATTGGTGTCCAGAGCACCGGTATTGCAATAATTTTCAATCTTCTGAGCGGAGCTCATCACCACTTTATTGAAAAATGATCAAGGTTACCTTAGGTGACAATTGAGGGAAGGAGGGAAGTATGAACAAATATTGAATACAATTTAAATAAATAGGACCTAACTAAAAAATGTTGCTTTGTATCAGCTTAGGTTGTCTAGATAAATTCATCTCATTTTCTATACACATTGCTGAAAGTTTAGACAAAAACGGTCGTAACTCAATTAGTTGCAACTATCAATCATTAGTTATTCATCGACGTTGAGACTCCGCAGCCATGCATCTCGGGTTGCGACGTTGCAGACTTTCTATCGTACTTTATTTTCTAAATTGAAGGCTACTCAGCAGCAATCTTTAAACACAGCTGTGATTTTTCTCCTCCGTGCGAAGAAAATGTCAAAGAATGGTATTGATCTGTTCTCCTTTAAAAAAGAAAAGTAGGAGAGGAGATTTTGAAACGGCACAAACGATATACATGGTTGCAGGCTTTCACCGTCGTTATACTGGTTTTTTGTTGTTATTTTCCAAGTATTGTATAATAATGTAAACGCCTCTGTGGGTTACAGGTTGCGATTGATTGTGTTGTGAATCCACCCCGAGAAACTGAGCCATCGTATGAGCTGTTCATGAAAGAAACAAGAGGTGTTATAAACTCCCTTAAAGAAAGAGCTAAGTTGGTGGCCGATGCGTTCAATCGTATGGAGGGCATGTCGTGTCAGCCGGTTCAAGGAGCCATGTATGCATTCCCAAAGGTATGTTTTCATCATCACAGTGCACATGCACACTTAAGGTTTGGAGACAAGCCAACCGGTGTACAAAAAAGTTGAGAATTTTTGGGCATTTTTGCCAAAAACTTCAATTTCATTTTGAATCCTTTTTTGTTATTTCGTTGATATTTCGTTTTAGTATAACCAATCAAAAGTACGAAAGTCCACTTTGAGCACCTCACACTGTGTAAATTGAGCAAGGATAATTTCATCCATTTCTCCTCTTCAATGATTTATTTTTATTTGCCTCAGTTATATTTTTGTCGAGCGGTTGGGAAATTTGAGAAAATATAACCGATTTCAATTCGGAACTGCAGAAAAGGTCATTTGCATGTATTTATTATGAAAGTGTGGAAAGCAACACACATGCGATTTCATGTTACATGTTGAAAGATTTCTCTAAATTTGATAAAACTATTTATCTCGCGCATATATTGAATTCTATATTTCATTCATCTTCTCCGGGATGATAAAAGAATCCTATTGGAGAGGAGGAAAAACAAAACTCCTAGAATTTTTTGACAAAATTCTTCTCAATTCTATTTTGATTTTTAACCAGATGAAGTTGCCTCCCAAGGCAATAGAAAAAGCTACTCACCTTGGATTGTGCCCCTCGGAGTTTTACGCGTTTCAACTTCTAGAGAACACCGGGATCTGCGTCATACCCGGTGCTGGATTTGGCCAAAAACCTGGAACCTATCACATCAGGTGAGTAGGCAATATTTCTCATCAGGCGTCCATTACAAAACATATATATTTCTAATATTAAGTTATTGGATTTGATCAAGCACTTTTAAACACATTTCTCGAAAATACGAAAACAATAAAGTAAAAAAGTAACAAATGGGTAAAACAAGGTTAAAATTTGAGGATACTAAATAGGCAGGACAATATTTTATCAATTTTTATTGTTTTTTTTTGCAGCTTACAGCATTTTTTTGTCAACGATGTGAGGTATAACTTGAAGAGCGTGTCCTATTGGGTATCCAGTTTCCAATTATTCAATCAAAACTTGGCCAAAATTACTTTCTTGAAAAGGTATCAATTGAAGGAGGCCCTTACTTTTTCCATGTAATGGTCGCATTTTGCTAAACTTCGAGTGAAACTTTCAAATATAAAGTTTCGTTCACGAGCATACAAATATCTCTCCTTCGCTTTAACAAACACGTGTAATTGTCCTCTGTTTCAGAACCACAATTCTCCCACAGACGGATAAACTAAAGGACATGTTAAACAAGTTTGAAGAGTTCCATCGTAACTTCCTTGCCGAATACAAGTGAGACTTTGCTAGGAATCTTGAGACTGTTCGACAACTTAGTCAAGTGGTACCACCTAAGCACGTAACACTGAAGCGGTCGCCTGTTGGGAGTAAAATCTCAGAAAATGTAAATTGTAAAAATGATATGGGTTTTTTTTAAATCCTGCAATCATACTTGTTTAAAAGTCATTGCCAGATTCGGCTGATGGTTTTCTCCTTCTTCTTTTGTCTCTTTACATTGGAAAAATTCTGCCAAACCTACTGCAAGGAGCATTTTTTTCATTGACTGGCCAAATTTTTTATCGAAAAACAGTACATGAGCAAAAAAATGCAAATTAACAATTGCATAAACGCACTTTTTTACTTTAACCTTCGACGTATAGAGGGTCGTAACATTCAAACATATTAATTTTATGTGTATTAATCTGTCAAGGTTTACCTAATTATGGCTGCATTGTAAAAGTATTATATTTATTGGAGGGAAAAATATGCAAGTATGTTGAAATATTTTTTAATTTTTGTTCTTTTTATTAATTCTTTGTGTCAATACCTACAATATCTTTAAGGCCCCGAAATTATTTAGTATCATAAGTGTACCTACAACGGACCTAAAAGGGACACTAAGGCTTTAAATTTAGAAATATACAGAGATACCCAGGGAGCTCCTAGGGCCTCAGAAGTGGTCCAAGGGCCCCTGGAGACTATGAAATAAAATTTATAGAGGTGTCGGCTATACCTGTGGAGCCTCAAAACCGAAACAAAAGCCCGAAAAATCAACATTCAGATTTATCAACGCAGTCTGCGAGACTTTGAATAAAATATGAGGGGCCCCTTCGTCTCAAAATAAAAACATTCCATAGTGTGTGCATGCCCGCCACAAGGGGGGGATACTGGGTCCCTGGCACCGCGGCCCGGGCCCCGGAGGGGGCCCGTGTTACCCCTGAAAAACCACCACGAATTCACATGCAACCCTTGTTTCGTAAGAAACAGTGAAAAATTTACCCCAAAAATTTCGCAAAAGGTGAATAGATTTTCAGAAACACGCTGGGGCACTGTGGAATTCTTCTTAAATTTTCAAAGAAGTATACTTCTTGGAAAAAATCTATCTATTTTCTAGATTTTCAGTACAGAGGGATATTTTCAGTAACTGCGTTTCATTCTATTCCGTCGTCAGATGCTAAGATTCTCCAGTCTGGGCATCCTCGACTTCAAAGGCTCATGGCTCAACTCCGTTGCCATAGACAAACGAATTGGGAATCCAGGGGGGCCTGGCCCTCTTAGAACTGATAATAGTATCATATGCGTCCTCCCCGAAAAAAATAAAAATTTTCCAGATGTTTTGAATGCAACAATTCGCAAGTATTTTGTGCTGAAAGTAGGAAAAAAAACATAATTATTCCGCAGAAATTGATGGAAAAATTCTTCATGGAAGCTTCAAAATGCGTCTGATTAGTCGTAAAAATTCTAAAATTTCTCGGGGGATGCCCCTTGGTACCCCCCCCCCCATTCGTTGTAATTTCTCGATGTGCTTTAAAGCTTCCCGTCCGTGCTTGGGGCCCTATGGTGTTCCTTTTTTAGGCAACCATCTCAAAACCTTGCTCCCCGGGCTGTATCCCATTCCTTTTGGTCCCCAAAAGACAATTCTGAAGTTTCAGCACCATAGCTGAAGTCTACACTTTCCCCCAAAGCGACGAAAATTTTGGGAGCAATTACATTGGTTTAAATGGGGAGAAAATAGGCCGATTTGTGGAACTATGTTTTTCGGCTACGTTTTTCTACGTATTCATACGGCGCAATGATACAACTATTTGAACTCTCAGGAATGCGTGAGGTATCACGCCGCATTTGAAGGCGTTTTCAAAACTGGTACCAGGGCCCGAGATGGGATGTGGCGGGCCTGGGTGTGTGCGGGCTTCTTGTAGATAATTTAAATTTAAAACATTCAAAGATGTCAGAGAGGCTTCTAAGGCCTCAAAAGTGAGGGGAAGAGGGGAGACATGGGCGTAGCTAGGGGGGTCCTGGGGGGGCCTGCCCCCCNCGGGATCCTTCATTCCTCACCCTCCCCCGCTCTCTTCACCACGAGAGGTGGTCCCATGCCCCCCCCCCAAAGAAATTTCCTAGTTACGCCCCTGAGGGGAGAGGGGGCTTCCAAGGAATCAAAACTCTCATATTCGTAGATATCATCGGCCGGGCTTGCGAAACATTAAAAAAAAAATAGTAGTGTTCAATGGCTCTGAATTTGATTGCAATTCATTGTAATCTGTCCTGCTTCGTAAAGTAAAGTAGGAAAATTCTTAGAGTAAACGATTCGCTAATAATGAAAAAAACGTTAAAAGCAGGTATAAACTCGGCCAACATGTCTCAAACATGAAAGCAAGAAACATGCTCCGCTCTTCTCCGCAGTTCGGTCGGGAGCCCCGACTTTAAGGTCATGACCCCCCCCCCCCTAATTCAACTCCCAAAGGGAACTGTAAGGACAGGGGAGGAGGGGATGGGACTAAGAAATTCGGATTCCTTGGGGATGGTTCCCTATCAACGCTGCGATCCCTGACTTCGTATGACCTAAAACAACGAGGAAAACAACCTAGTACGGGTGGTCTGATGCTGGTTTCCAAAGTGCGCGCAACCAGAGGACTCTCCGCTTATTTGAAAAGTGGCGCGTCAATTTGTATATTTCGCCGCGAGCGCCATCCGAATTGGCGGGAACCAATCAGAGTAAAGTTTCAACTTGCTTACATGGATAAACCGATCGACCAATCAAATGTTTTTTTTTCGGTTTGAATTTTTGAGGTTACATTGCACATACACAAGTGTTTCTCAGGTCTTTCCAATGTCTTTGGTCTTTCCCAGAATCTTTCCGTTTTCCACCCTTTTATTGCTTTACGATTCGCCTCGTGCGTCAAATTCTCACATATCATCTTATCAGCACTCATCATGAGATCGTTTATTTATCCGCTTCTGTTTAAGTCAAATCCAACACTTACCAGAAAAGTATCGGTTTTCTTTCGTCCATGCTCTTCTCACACATCAATCCAGAGATTCCAGAGATGGATGACCATGCAACTCCTCGGAACCTGCTCACCACCTCCATAAAAGGAAGGTAACTATGCACCCTGTGATCAGCTCCTACTCATAACCTCATCATTGGGAAGCTTCGGATTTTATGTTATTTCACATCATGGGTGATTTCACGATAACAGGAATAGTTAAAATTTGAAATACCTTAGAAATAAAAGTGCACCAATTTTAACAGGATTTCATTACCTCATTTTAAAGGTATTAAACTTCCTCTTTCCAGCTTTGGCACGCTCTATTTTGATTCAGTGCAAAGTTAAAGTAATTGATAAACAAGCCATTGAATCAGGTATCAGCGCTTCCCGCGGGACTGCTGGAGGTCCACGCAAACATGGCGGCCCTGCCAAATTGTGTCGGTTACGTAACAGACACAGCGTAACCGACACTCAAAAATGTGAGATTAAAGATGATACAAAAGATGAAACTTGGCAATTCTTGAGTTATGAGGTGGAATTAATGCTGCCTTAAAAGTTTTCTAAACTTTGGAGACTCCCTTTTAGTTTAATACTATTAAATTGAGGTTTTTGCGTAGTGAGGAATTAGTGCTACACACGTAAAAATCACTGGTTTTCATAATAATTTAAGTTTCCATTGTAAAAAAAACTGACTTATCAGTGATGGTTTTGTCAAGAAGACTTCAGCGAACAATTTGATGGCAGTTTTGAAACTCCTGACTCCATCTCGCGAGATAAACACTGCACTTAATACAACTGCAAAAATTTGTTGCCAAATGTGGCGACACCTCTTTATTATGACTTTTCTCGCTCAATAATAAACATTTCAGTTCAAACTGGCAATTTTCTTGAACACTAGAGTCTCTTTTCAGCAAATATTGCCAAAGAGTTCATGATCAGTACTGATTTGTTACCGCAAATTGCTCTTTTGCTTCAAAATCGGGGTTGGCGACGCGTAACCGACCGGACATTTTCGGCCTTTGAAGTCCCATATTATTAAATATAATAATAATTCATCATATTTTTTAGCATGGATAGGTTCAGGGACATCATTCCTATTGATTAATTAATTTGGTTTTCATTCGTTTTGCCCTATGTCGTTCATAACCCACGGCGACACGACTATTCCTATTATCGTGAAATCACCCTCATAGTTCCAGCAGGTGAGGAAGACTGAACTTATTGTTCATGCATTGTTGCACCTTGTAGGATCCGATGGTGTACCCAAAGGGCTTTTTTTAATCCGAACCGCAGAAGATTGCTGCAGAGCGCATCATTTTTCTATCCCGTTCCAATGGCGCGTTCCATACGATCCAGTGGAACGCTTGGACCGCTCTTCCGAGGTGGGCTGAGGTCGCGTTAAGGCAGATTGAACTGGCCCAAATCATAAAAATCCTGATCCATCGCGTTCCTCGATCAAGATAAAAGCCCTTCAGAAGTGCAAAGATGCACAATTATATAGCCCAAAAAGAGGAGTATGAGATATGGCAGAAAACCGAAAAGAATGGGCAGGACGTTGAAAGCTGGGACAGGCTTGTATTCAGCTGCAATACAAATTCATTTAAAGTGAATGGTGACCTGGCAACTTCTGAGTCAAATCATTAATGCTCTAGAGCTCATTCAGCATATTTTGAGATGAAAGTTATGTATTGTTTAAGCCACCTCTGACCAAAGGTTATGTCTGAGTGCTTGTATTAACCTGTTGGGTGGTGCTGATCTAGAGATAGTCATTTGTAGTAACACGCAATGAGCTAGCTCTAATGTCATAAAGTTGCCTAGCCTTTTGAATTGATATATTAATGGAAACAACTTAAAGATTGCATTCTACACGTCAAATGGGTGTCAAATTTTGGTGTGAGGTTATGTTTTAATGTTTTGAACCAAATGATACATCAAACCACTATCGAACACGATTCATTCTCACCAGCTCTGATAGCAATTGGTACAGGTTGTATTATCAATACTTTGCTGTGGAACTACCTCAATAGCTCTCTGAGAACTGTTATTACATCTCTAGACCTGGCCCCAGCTTTTACCATGCAACTACTTTGATTAACGATGCTTCGTTTTCTGCCGCTATTAATGAGCCTTACATACTGTTTTTATTTTCTGCTCACATAAATAACCAGAGTACACTCCAATTAAATCGTGTACTACAATGATTTTGGCTGGATTTTCAACTAGCAGTGTTCCTAATCTAACTAGTGTTGTTCGAAGTGTAAACAGTGTGCAATAGCTCAGTGGAATCGCTAACTTTGAGGTTATTGTATTTTCATACTGCAAAGATTGTCATGGTAATGTTTGGTAGGCAAGTTTTAACTCAAGTAAATTATTGTTTATTTATGAGATAGTGTGTGATCCCGAACTTTTGTAAGTGGCTGTTTATCTGCAAAGCGGAATTAGGCCAATCAACCTACAACAACAACAACAACAACAACAAGTTTGAATTTATGTATTGATAAGACGAGGAAATAATTATATTAATGCTTAAATTTGCAACTTGAGAGGAAACCCTTATAGGGACACCCGGTATTGAGTTTAGTCCTGCAGCTCAAACTACTGTGCATGCAAGTATGGCAGTTAGTGATAATGCTAACAACTAACACCTCATCTCTTACCTATTTGTATTCTAGCAGACTGGCCCTCCAAACTTATGAGCAAGATGGAAAGGAAAGAATGACACTGTTGCCTACCTTACCTGTCTGCTCCCCAATGAAGGACTCAACTGGAAAGCAGGGAGGAAGGGAGAGAAGAACAACATTTACGATCCTAAATTACTGGAGGTATGACTCATTTAATTTTTCTCTCCACTGCAAGATTGATGCTATAACTGTTTTCAAAGTGGAAAGCTAACGTTGGTTTTCTCTCAATTTCAGAAGACCAGCACTTTTACTCAATTCAAAAACGAAGATCTAATTGACTACAATGGATAGCTGAATAACCGAACGAAGACTGTGTCCCATACTGTCGTGCTAAGGAAGAACGCCGAATGAACCCTCAGGCGTTGCCAAATTTCCTTTGATAAATCACGATTTTTCTGGAAAATTTGTAAATATTGTTCCTCCAATCTTTCAAATAATTCTGTTCGCAATTTTTCTGAAAGTTCCTGAAAATTTCAAGAAAAAATATTCATAACTTTTTTCTAAAATAACTTTTTTCTGAAAGGAAATTTGGCAACTTTCGAATGTTCAGACGGCGTTTTCCCTTAGCACGGTAGAATAACAGAAAATAAAAGCTACAAATAAAATTAATTTACTTGAAAAATACAAACTTACATGGTGCCTTTTTCTGCCTTTTTTCCGCAGCCATCGTGATATTTCCACAACTCCATCACACAAGAGTTGAGTGAACCTGATGATGGCTGAAACGCATCATCAACATTTTATATGTTTGGAACAAGTGAGTTTTAGCTTTTGTTTTACTTTATTTTTTAAATGATAAGTTAGCGACTACGCTCTGCTACATTCTCAGGTTCTTTCATTTTGTTTGATGTATCATGCCCATGAGGGATAAAATAAATGGGTATTAATGGGTTGCAACATGTAAAATTATTTTGATTTCAACCTTTGATCAATTTATATTTTCTCCTCTGACCAGTTGATGACAAGTGCTCTAAATTCCTCCTAATGTAGAAGATAAGACAGTTCAGAATTCCCCTTGAATATCATACCATTTTCTCACATTTAAACAGTAATGTGTTTTGATCGAAAATGTCAGAGGTGGAACTGCACAATATCCATGAAAGGCTGCTAAATTCTTCAACACGTAAAACATATTGGACAAAATGCTGGTTTATCACTTGCAATTTTACCACAAGTTCCGGGTTGATTTCCTTGTTAAGTAACAAGGTGGAGAAATGGTGCTGGGTCCACACCATTTCGCGGGGAAACAAAGCCAAGAAATTCCAAAAATTAAAATTAGAGTCAAAATTAAATTTTTGAACTCTAATGTGTACCAGTACGAAACTGAGGGGGGAGAGTATCCACTTTAATTTTTGGAATTTCTTGGCTTTGTTTCCCCGCGAATTGGTGTGGACCCAGCACCATTTCTCCACCTTGTTACATACAGTTTGGGCTACTTCTTGGTGTTTTTTTTCTTCTTTTTTTTTCTCATTTCCTTTTTAAGTTTATCTAAACTTAAAGCCTTTTTTTTCCACGTTTTCAGATATGCTACTACAATGAATCAATGAGTTGTGACTGCACACATCTGAAATTTTTATCTGGTTGGAAAATTGAAGGAGGTGCTCAGGAAACAGTAGTCGCCCTAGTCTTGACTCCGTCCTGTCAAAAAATGGATTGTTCCTACTTTGCTTTTATTTTTTATAGAAGTATGGCCTTCAAGGTAAATTCAAAATCAGAAAAGAAAAAAATTCAGGTTAAAAAAACTTACATTTTAGACTATTCTTATGGCAGACATCTCAAAAATCATGGGTGTACAAATGAAGTGATATTTGGTAGAATTTTGCTGAAAATGGGTTTAAATTCAGGATTTTTAGTTTGTTGGAAACTAGGATGAACACTTTTGACTTGTAAGAATTTTGCATTTGAATATTAAGAGGAGACATTGGGTATAATTTCAAATTTCTTTACGAAGCCCATCCTCAAATACATTTTACGATAAAGCCCACAAAAACCAAAGTTGAACTTTACTCAAACCAGCCTGAATCCACCCAATTATTTTCTTCTTTTTTTTTGCAACTGTCATTTAAATCCTTTACCATGACATCCCTAATTTATTTCTGTTACATTTGCCAATAAATTATAGTCTGAGCATAATATTTCATACAGTTTTTCATATTTTATTTTTTTAAGGATAAATATTTGCAATATCTGCAAAAATTCTATATATTATCATTTTATCCAAAGAAATTTGTTAACGCCCAAATATTGATGCAATGTGTTTCATACACATGATAGTGCTATGGATTAACTTCAAGCACAAACTCACAGACACCAAAAACAAGTGTCATTTTGAAATTTTCAACAGTACCTCCAGGTATTGCCATTAATGAGTTGCCTGATTACTATCGTCTCAAATTTTGTTTGTATTGTTTGGACAGCATTGTAAATGGGCACTCAAGATATTGTTTCTGCTTCCTCAATTAGAAATTCTCTGTATATTTACTTGGCATTTTCACTCTTTTCATGCCCTATGCCATTGATTCAGCTCTGAGCTTTTGCTTTAATTGTTACTTTTTTGCTTTTCATTCATATTGATGCTGAGCGCAGTCAACTTTTCAATAGCTTTTGGAATAGTATATGTGACGACAAATATTGTCTAATCTATTTTGATTGCCAACTCATTTAAATCCCAGCATTATGTAATGATGCTTCAAGTTACTGATTTTGGTCAAATTACCTGGTTACGTGGTATGGTTAACTGTATGAGGCAAGCAAGGACAAAATCTGTCATCAAAAAAGCATTGCATGAGAGCACCACTTTCTTAAGGCTGCTTCGACTCTCATTAATTAGACTTTTAAGAATTGAATTATTGGGTAGCATTTTTAAAATGAGAAAGTATCAGGACAACATTTTTTTATTCATAAAAATGTAACCAACTATAGGCTGTGTTGGGAGACCAAAATCCATAGACAGAATTTTTCATATTATATTTTGGTTTTTTCAGAATTGAAATGTCAGAGCTGGTTCTGCTGAAGTAAGATTTTCTAATCGGTGAGCTTCTTCAAAGTCAAAATTGCAAAATTTAGAAGAACACTAAGGTGGCTACATTGGAGAAAAAGTACCATTCCTCAGTTCTGGAGGTGGGTTGCAAATGAATTATTACCTGATCAGGGGTTTTACGCTTTCAAGTGCATAACTAACCTGTTGTAGTTTAAATATCCCTTTTAACATGACTTATATTGTATTCTCTTATAGTACAGTACAGTCAATTCTTTTGTAGTACTGTACTACAATGTTGTTTTATGACAGAACATGAAAGCTTCCAAAAAATGCACATGACAGAAGCATTCCATGTGAGAGGAAGCAAAGCTCACACATGATATTACAATTTAATTTACTTTATATAGCTTCACATTACATTGACATTACTTTTACATTGCTTTAATTGATTAATGTTTCAATTAAATTTCTTTATATTACATTTAGCTTTACACAATTACTTTGGTATCATACACTATGTACACTTAATGCTAAGTTGCTTAATTTTCCATCTGACAAATCGGCTTTGAAGAGGATAATGTGTCCAAAAGTGATACAGTTTCTTTCGGAGAAGGAGATTTTCATACTTTTAAACTATTCCATAAATTGAGGACACTTTGGGGAAAAATTGCAGCAATTGGAGGCTGAATAGTGATTACAAAGTATTACAAAGAAATAGTAATGTACCATAAAAGTATAGTAGTAATAAGCTAAGAAAAGAATAAGTAATTTTATTTTATTTTCATTTTAATACATGAGAGCCACAAGGCTGTGGTATACGTCAAGCTACAGAAAGAACTAAAAAGAAACTTTTACATTTCAGCCAAGCACTAAATATCACGATCAACTGGGTACTAAATA